TTTGCATTTATCAATGATTTGTGCAAGGTAGGGTGTCCAAGTGGTCTATGGCGTTGATGAAGCGGGACGGAGGATGAGGGAAGGGGATCTGGAGAGAGGGAGAATAGGGGAGGGTAGTAGGGAGTTTATGATTTGTAGAGTTTAGGGTGTTGAATAGATAGTTGGGGCTTGGGGGGAGCTTGGGGTTGGGTTTTTGGAGGGTGATGGGTATAGAAGATGATGATGGGGGATATGGAGCAAAAAAGAATTGGGGAGGGCAGTGGGGAGGGAGAAGGTGATCAGTGGATGAAGGAGAAGATGATGGATGAGGATGTGAAGATAAAGAGTGAGCAGTAAAGGATAAAGAGGAAAAAGATGAGGGAGGGGATAAGAAGCGGAAGGAGAGGAATGATGTACCATAGCAGTGGTGGGTGTGGTGCTCGAAGGGGGAAGGAACGTGGATGTATTGGGTGCGGTGTAGTAAAACTAAGATTGATTAAATTATCTGGCATCATGTTTATGATTGGTGTTATTGGGCGTTGAATAATATTTTGTAATAGGTTTAAAATGAGTAGATTTTAATGGTAGATGAATAAAGGGTACAATGGTCATTTTTGTTAAAACTGTTAATGCGGACTCTCTTTAACTTTTCAAATGTTGAGGAGTCTCCATGTCATTTGACCATCACATGGGGCTTCCAGCTTCATATGATTTTTACCCTATTGAAATTTATTCTATTAATTAAGTTAAATGATAATGGAAATTTTTGGTTGCTTCTATTAGAGGCCTTCATCTCAAAAATAATTGCAAATGTGTGGAGAAATACCTTAACCAGATAACCAACTTTAGGTAACCTTAATATTATGTTGTTGGATAGAATAGCTCTTCACACCATCCTCACGTGTAATATGGAATTTCACGTGAGCAACCAAAGATGAGTAGACCGTGGAATACAAATGGATGAGAGACTTGGTCCGCGGATGACCCAAGGTCTAGCTTTATCCGCTGAAAGGAAAGTTTTGTTTGCTATTAAAAAGTGGTCCAAGGCTGATGGTCTGTTGGAGATTCCAAATTTATTGTCAATGAGAGTAGAGGTCTCTTAACCACGTAATCAACCTTGGGTGATTGTTGTCGTGGAATTCTAATGGGTGATATACTGGTCCCACCAACAATTCAAGGCATGAAACCATGTGACTGGCATCCAATATGACTAATTGGCAATGAGTGGAAAGAGCTTCGGGACAAAACCAGCATTCGGTGGCCATAATGTTGTAGTAGTTGCAGAGTGGATATTTTCAAAAGTTCATGTGTCTGTAGAATAATTGTCTAAATTTTTCTCTTCGGTTATAATTTTTGATTGGGTTGTTTTGTGTCTAGTTTCCATTTCGAATGTCTAGAGATCTTATATCCATTATTTCAACTATCTCTCTTTCATTTCAGGATATTATTTGGTGCGCGTTTAACGAGAATTGCTCTGCCAAAATGGTACCATGCACAGCAATTTCTAGCCCACACTTTGGTACAGAACACCCGAAAGATAGTATCTTTTACCAATTCCTCGAAGTTATTGAGCATGTTTCATCTTTTTTTCCCATACTATAAAGCAATAGACAAATAATGTCGGCTCGTTGATCTCAATGTTGAACTCCACTTTTGCCTTTCTTTTTAAATTTATTCCTTTTTTCCTAATGTCCTAGGTCAAGCTTTCGTTATTTTTAGGACAAGGGAAGCAACCGAAAGGGTTATCAAAAAGTTGGATGATGGATGCTTAATGTTATCAAATGGGAGGTATGTGTGAGACTCTAGTGATTGTTAGTGCCTATAACAATGATTGAATGCCAGATATGCTTCCTTTGTGCTTCTTGGTTATATAATACATGCTATTTGTTGCAAGATTATATTGTCTTCCTCTTTATCCAACTTCATGAGAATTTGGAAATATGTGAAAAAGCACCTGTTGTCTAATTATTATGGAATGTGACATAGAGGGGGTGAATATTTCCTAGAGGTCGACTTTTAGTTTTAATCAACTTGTCAATCCTCCAATTGCAATTTGATGGTGGTCAAATAACACATATAACTATTTCAATAACACTTAATTACACCACAAGCATGAATAATTTTTACGTGGAAAGCCTTGCGGGAAAAACCATAAGACCTAGACTAGCAAACACATGTACTATGTACTATAAATGTGAAAGAATCAAACTTCCAATGGGTGGAGACGTTCACAAAGCATGTAAATTGGTTTGGGAGGTCATATTTTATTGATGTGAGAAAAGCTTTAAAACTCCACAATTGTGGTCTCCACTTGCACGTCAAAAAGACAACAAGAATAATGATAAATTGAAAGGCATAACAAGTACATCTTCAACACAAACAAAAAGGGAATCAAATGCCAAATAGAGAAATTGAGTCCTCTACAAAATTTTGATTGCAACATATTTTTGATTGCAACTTAGAAATGATTGATTTCTTCAACATTTCTTTTTTGGCCCCTAATGAAGATTGAAAAGGCGCATATGGTTCGGGAACAATTTGGGGTGAAAACCCATCTGAACAAGTAGGGTCAATAGTTCGGCATTTAGGAGAAAGGTTTTTTGAACCCATTCCTTTGTCAAAATTCGTTCATCATCCATTTAAGAGTAATTATGAACAAGAAGAAAGAATCACAAGAAGTCCTGTGTCACGAGCACGCACAATGAGTTGTTTACTTTTTGGTGTGGTGAACGGCTTTTANATCATCCATTTAAGAGTAATTATGAACAAGAAGAAAGAATCACAAGAAGTCCTATGTGTCACGAGCACGCACAATGAGTTGTTTACTTTTTGGTGTGGTGAACGGCTTTTAGTGATGCATTATTTTGCCATTAGAATTCTATACATAGACAAAAATTCGAATAAATTTTTCTCGAGTCGTACTAGAAGAAAACTTCCTATATGTTTCTAGGGGCATATTTTTCATCTACATCTTTCCCAATGAGCCGTCTATCAAATTGCTAATCAAAACTTCGATGATAAAAGAAGTATGCAAGTCGACAAAAAAATTAAGAGACTGATAACTAAATATATACAAATAAGTGCAAATTCTGACATCACCACAACTCACTCTGATTATCGTTATTCAAGCGGTATCATAAAGAATCTTTCCTTTTGTCCTTTTAGCAATGCTTTGGAGAGGGACTCGGTAGCTAGGAAAGTCAAGTCAAGGAGGAAGACGTTGTACTATTAGGCAAGTAGTGGCAGTCGCGGCTGCTAAGCTCAAACTCCAAAGGAAGCAAATCAAAGAGAAGGGGAGGAAGAATGCAAGCAATTGATATAAACGCATCCTAGCGTAGCGCGAAAGGACTGTACGCACATAAGAGGACTCTGTCCTCTACCAAAATCGTTGAGTGACTCCCTCTCTCACTTGCTTTAGAAGACGAGAGGTCACCACATCTTAGTGTAGCCATAAGAAATTCCCTTAACGTGTTGACCCTTCTCTTGCTCATGTTGTTCATTTTTCCTTTGGTCAAAGTCTATCTTGTCTTGACCAAGAGTCATTTTTCTTGGCTAACAATAATGAACGTTTTGCACATATACGCAATAATTTAGATAAAAACATCTATAGTTGAAATGATCGTGTCAATTCTAGTTTCAGTAATGTTGATCATTTATTTCGCATCAAGGACATTTGTAATTTGATCTCTAATGACACTTTCTTAGTTAGGTATGATAATGAGAACAACTATTCCACATATTTTGATATTAAAAATAAGTTTTTTGAAATTACGGGGAACTTGCTTCATGTTGGGGTATTGGTGCCGATTAGATGTCGTCCTTGGAGTCCATCACTATATTGAGCAGATCACGGTCATTCACATCTTAGTCATGTGAATTGCCTTTAGCTACATATCGCATTCAACGTCTGAAGTCGAGGCCTCCGTGAAGGCTGCTTGAGATGTCGCCTAGGTTATGAAGCACTATTTTGGTTTTTTGGAGCCCGATATACGCAAAATTTCCCCCGTTTTGAATTAGAGAGATTGTATACTTCACACTGACTATACTGCCTTGTGCTTTACTGAATCAAATGATTATTTTTGTTGAAGGCTTCCAGAATAAGGAAGGCTTTGGTGTGATCATTGACTTAGACGAGCAAGGTACAATGGAAGTTGTTTTTCGACTAAGGCAAGCGAGGTAGGGTTAGACTAGATAGAGGGGGACTACGAGCGTCCATCCCATAACCTAAAAGGGAACCATGCATTCCTCCCTGATTGGACTCTCGCGTGTCCAGAGTCCTATTAGATCAACCAACGATTGGTTTACGAAACAAGGAGTTAAGCAAGGGCCAGGTTATTTCATCAATCTCCTTGCCAAAGTCAGTGTTATGTTCAACTCCGAGGGAGGGGGACTATGAACGTCCATCCCATAACCTGCAAGGGAAACATGCATTCCTCCCCGGCTAGACACTTGCGTGTTCGGGGTCTGATCAGATCAACCAGCGATCAATTTACGGAACAAGGAGTTAAGTAAGGGCCAACTTATTTCATCAATCTCCTAGCCGAAGTCAGTGTTGTGTTCAACTCCACAGTTGCAAGGATTTTTTGCTAATATGAGATTGCTCCTACCTCTAGACAGCTTTGATATTCCCATCGATTGATTTTAGAGGTTTTTCAACCACTAAACTTACTTAAGTTTCCCTTTGATCGAGTGCTATTTATATAATCAATATTGAGTAGGAAAATCTTGAATTGGCTTAATCAAAGAAAGCAATTCCATTTTTCCATGTAGTTTGTCGGTCAAACCAATGATTCTTTTCTAAAAGTAATTGAGAGATCTTTTTTCTAGTTAGACTTCTATCAATGCAATATAACTCACAATAAATCTCGCATATTTAGCTAAAGTAAACGCTACTTGATTTCCATTTCTCCGAACCATAGCTAATTCATGATAACTAAAACTTTGAAGATCATTCTTGATACTGTCCAAATTCATAACCAAAGGTATCGTTTGTGTCTGTGTCTCCATTGCTTTAACTGCCTTCAAAGCTTGATTGAATCCCCTTCCAGAATAACATATTGCACTCCTTGATGAAGAGCAAAAAGCATAGCTTCCTTCATAGCAGTGATTTCTGCGTCCAGCCCTCTGGAAACAATTTTCTTGGCCATACCAGCCACAAAAATACCATTGCTATCTCTGATAACAACTCCAACACCAAAATTCTGGCCTTCCGCAAACACAACACTACAGAAATTAACCTCAACAAGACCAGCCCTAGGAGGAATCCAAAACGCAGAAACAGATACCTGTGGTAGAGCTCACTGTGCATCGTTTATCTGCTGATGACTAGCTAAATACTTTCTAGCTTCTCTGACAATATTAGCTGGATTTTTTGAGAATCCAGAATGGACCATCTCATTTTGATGCTTCCAAATCAACCCGCAATGAATAAAGAAATATTACGAACTCATCTGTGTCCAGAAAATAATGTATATCAAACCAAAAACCTTCTTCTTGTCATCTGTCTTCTTTTATAGTTTACTTGATGAAAACCACGATAGCAAGCTAAGGGACAGATTGTAATTTCACCTTGAACTTGCATGGGAGATGATGTAATGAGGTGTAGGAGTAACAGTCTTCGTTGATTAATTAGGTGCTGAAATATTTGTGATTTTCAAATGTCTTGAATTGTTTTAGCATTGTGGGCTTCTCCACTCAGGTCTTGTTCCATTCCTTGATGATTGTTTTATATAACATTGAAGAGCCTGTATCTCTAGGTAGTTATGGTGCCATAAGGTAGAGTATATGCTCAGTCATACATACAACCAAGATTTGGTGTCTGATGTTTCAGATGATAGCTTCTTGACTTGAAGGCCTTTCTATGATTGTGTTTGGTTAGTCGTTTTCATCACCCGGTTAGCTCTAAGGAGGCAATTGAGAGTTCCGCCTGAGTTAAAAACAGTTTCAGATGTAGTGGAGGTGTACGAGTCTACTATTGTTTTGGTTGCTTTTGCTCACTAAGGCTGTGAGGGTGTCGCTGGTAATGGGTGGTTGATAATTGTATTGTCCTTTTGTGTCGGTCTTATCAAAATTATATAACCCTTGGGATTTGGGTGGTGGTGCTTGTATTCATGGGGCTGGGCATCCACTTTTTGAGAATTTAGCATTGTTGATGTCCTAGCCATTTGATTTGAATGCAAGAAATNGGTGGTTGATAATTGTATTGTCCTTTTGTGTCGGTCTTATCAAAATTATATAACCCTTGAGATTTGGGTGGTGGTGCTTGTATTCATGGGGCTGGGCATCCACTTTTTGAGAATTTANAAAACAAGGAGTTAAGCAAGGGCCAGGTTATTTCATCAATCTCCTTGCCAAAGTCAGTGTTATGTTCAACTCCGAGGGAGGGGGACTATGAACGTCCATCCCATAACCTGCAAGGGAACCATGCATTCCTCCCCGGCTAGACACTTGCGTGTTCGGGGTCCGATCAGATCAACCAGCGATCAATTTACGGAACAAGGAGTTAAGTAAGGGCCAACTTATTTCATCAATCTCCTAGCCGAAGTCAGTGTTGTGTTCAACTCCACAGTTGCAAGGATTTTTTGCTAATATGAGATTGCTCCTACCTCTAGACAGCTTTGATATTCCCATCGATTGATTTTAGAGGTTTTTCAACCACTAAACTTACTTAAGTTTCCCTTTGATCGAGTGCTATTTATATAATCAATATTGAGTAGGAAAATCTTGAATTGGCTTAATCAAAGAAAGCAATTCCATTTTTCCATGTAGTTTGTCGGTCAAACCAATGATTCTTTTCTAAAAGTAATTGAGAGATCTTTTTTCTAGTTAGACTTCTATCAATGCAATATAACTCACAATAAATCTCGCATATTTAGCTAAAGTAAACGCTACTTGATTTCCATTTCTCCGAACCATAGCTAATTCATGAGAACTAAAACTTTGAAGATCATTCTTGATACTGTCCAAATTCATAACCAAAGGTATCGTTTGTGTCTGTGTCTCCATTGCTTTAACTGCCTTCAAAGCTTGATTGAATCCCCTTCCAGAATAACATATTGCACTCCTTGATGAAGAGCAAAAAGCATAGCTTCCTTCATAGCAGTGATTTCTGCGTCCAGCCCTCTGGAAACAATTTTCTTGGCCATACCAGCCACAAAAATACCATTGCTATCTCTGATAACAACTCCAACACCAAAATTCTGGCCTTCCGCAAACACAACACTACAGAAATTAACCTCAACAAGACCAGCCCTAGGAGGAATCCAAAACGCAGAAACAGATACCTGTGGTAGAGCTCACTGTGCATCGTTTATCTGCTGATGACTAGCTAAATACTTTCTAGCTTCTCTGACAATATTAGCTGGATTTTTTGAGAATCCAGAATGGACCATCTCATTTTGATGCTTCCAAATCAACCCGCAATGAATAAAGAAATATTACGAACTCATCTGTGTCCAGAAAATAATGTATATCAAACCAAAAACCTTCTTCTTGTCATCTGTCTTCTTTTATAGTTTACTTGATGAAAACCACGATAGCAAGCTAAGGGACAGATTGTAATTTCACCTTGAACTTGCATGGGAGATGATGTAATGAGGTGTAGGAGTAACAGTCTTCGTTGATTAATTAGGTGCTGAAATATTTGTGATTTTCAAATGTCTTGAATTGTTTTAGCATTGTGGGCTTCTCCACTCAGGTCTTGTTCCATTCCTTGATGATTGTTTTATATAACATTGAAGAGCCTGTATCTCTAGGTAGTTATGGTGCCATAAGGTAGAGTATATGCTCAGTCATACATACAACCAAGATTTGGTGTCTGATGTTTCAGATGATAGCTTCTTGACTTGAAGGCCTTTCTATGATTGTGTTTGGTTAGTCGTTTTCATCACCCGGTTAGCTCTAAGGAGGCAATTGAGAGTTCCGCCTGAGTTAAAAACAGTTTCAGATGTAGTGGAGGTGTACGAGTCTACTATTGTTTTGGTTGCTTTTGCTCACTAAGGCTGTGAGGGTGTCGCTGGTAATGGGTGGTTGATAATTGTATTGTCCTTTTGTGTCGGTCTTATCAAAATTATATAACCCTTGAGATTTGGGTGGTGGTGCTTGTATTCATGGGGCTGGGCATCCACTTTTTGAGAATTTAGCATTGTTGATGTCCTAGCCATTTGATTTGAATGCAAGAAATTATGCACAATCGCAATACTCAGA